ATATTTGAGGGGAGGCGCTAATTCGAGGATTTATGGTACGCGCGTACGTCCTTTCTTTTAGTAGTGGAAACGATAAGTCGCCGAAATCGCGTTAGATCGGCCTGAGGAGCTGGCAAACAACAAAGAATACAACACAGCAACAGGGTAAGTAGATTTTATTCACAAAATATAAGAATAATAGACTTCTCAAGGAAACCCGTTGCGTTGCCATACAAACCTTTATAAATTCAAACCGTTGTAACACAACACTTCCATATGGTGCAAGTCGCGTAGTCAAATCCGTCGTTATGTAATATGCCATATGTCACGTTACGCTGAATGTTCGCATAAAAGTGAAAAAAAAAAGATAACCCTTAACACTGTGAGCTTGGGCCGCCTGTGTACAGCCTTTTCCTAATGCAACACTCGAATAGTTTCCTTTGATTAAAAATTGCTGCTACTCTGCTGTTTTTCCGACCGATTGTACAATTTATAGAGAATTTTCAAACATCACTCGCATTGATACGATTTAATACTTATACCTACTAACATAGAGGGTAAAATTAATCAATTTTCATGGGCCGAGATAGGCTCGATTACCAGCCGCTGTTCGGGAAAGGAGCCCACCGAGAGAGCGGCGGAAATCGAGCCTACAGCCGAGACAGAGGGTTTTCTTCCTTACTTTCCCTTTCTATGTATATATATATCAAGGTTTCTTGCTCTCAGGGCACTCAGGCTGTTTTGCCATTGTTTTACAACAATGGCGTCTCGTTTGCTTTGGAGAAGTTGAGGATAAATTTATTGAAGAACCAAGGAAAATGAGCGAAGATGTAAAACACTAAAAAAACTCAGAACACTAAAAGAACGTAATGGAGAAGTGGAAAACCGACCGAAAGAAATCAAAAGGAACGGATAGTTTTGCCTTTCGATCGATCGCCTGCGAATCGATCGCCTGCCTATCATAATCTACACTATTATGAGAAAAACGAAGGAAAACTCACCACAAGGCATGTACAGCTCTAGCTCTAAGACGACTTTGGTGAAAAAGAGTCCCGATGAATCGAAGTGCATCAGCTCAAAGAATCGACGGTTACCACTCAAGAGACGAACGAGAACATTTGATGATTTCGCAAGAACAACTGACTACATCAGTTGTTCGCATCCAGCAAGGGTCTTAAATCAGCTATAACCACCAAAGTTATACACAGTTAGTACAGCTAAGCTTCTGTCGCTTCTTGTGCTCCAGGCCTCAGTGCAATAGTCAGCTGAGAGAAGCTCACCAAGCTTCAGTGGCGCTAAGCGTGGTTCATATAAAAGGATCTTCACTGAAGGCTTTAACTGAGGAACTTCTAAACGTCTTCAAAGCGTTTAATAGTATATAGTAACTTCCCTGAAAGGTTGCGTTTTTGCAGCGGCGTTCTAGTACAAAAATAAATTTCATTCAGCTGCTTGGTGCATGCGTTTTACAGGTCGTTGACGTTTACCGAACACTGAAATGGTTTTCTAAAATATACATGCGTCAAGTCTGCCTTCGTACCCAGTGGCCCATCAGGACGTGCGTGCGCACCGTAAATCCTCGAATTAGCGCCTCCCCTCAAATGTGCTCCCCTTTCGAAAAAGCGCCCCTCCTAACGGCCAATAAGCGCCTCCCCTCGAATAAAAGCCCCCTCCCATCCCCCTGTAAAATAAAATAAAGAATAAAAATAGCTGGACAGATGCTTTTGACGGAATCCACCAGAAGTTCGCGTAACAAGTGGACAAAAACCTAGTACCAAGATTAGTTACATCATATTGCAAACTTCTGTACGACTGTTTCAAATATCTTCTAAAAAAAAATCATTTCTAGCAACACCAAACGTCGAAAACGAATCGAACTTCGTATCCAGGTGATCTGACCGTAAATAATTAACCAATCATCTTCAAGGAGAAATTATTTTTAAAGCCGCACAGAATTCTTTGCGCGCCTAGTAGAGCTTGTCCTGACCTTCGACATGTAGTACATCGACACATCGATAGCGCTGTGAGGATAAACATGGCAGTTTTCAGTCGGAAGGCTTTTTTTTCTCATCATGCTTTGGTTGTGAGTGGAATATAACTCTACTACCGAGTATTCTTCAAGATTTTTAAACTAAGAAAAGTTCAGTACTCGATCATATAGACCAACAAAGTCAGTGAGTTGGCTTGTGGGCCTTCTGCGTGGGCACATGACATGTTCTCTCCCGCAAGAGGTGGTTGAACCTTCTTTCCATTGCTCCATACATTTTGATGGCGTATTCAGCTTTGTTGGTTGAACAAAGTGTGTACAGAAGACGCAAAGAAGCCATCTGTGCTGCTCGAACTAAAGATGGATCTTGTACAATCGGATATCTTACCTCCGGATTCTCATTGGTGTCGTCGCAGAGATCGTAAACAATAGCACATTTCTCGCAGCTTCGTTGTTCCAGGCTCTCTTCCACAGGCCAACAATAGTTTTATTCTATGAGGTTTTTTGCGTCCTACTACTTGTAAAGTTTGCTCCACCCATTTTCCGCCGCTTGCTGTCTAGAAAGACGGTTTTTCTTCTTAAAATCGTGCGCTCGAAAAGTGCAGGTAATCATGGCGCGTTTGCGGGACAAATCTAAAAACTTCCAAGGTCTTGTTTTCACTCCTAACAGGGATAAATTACTGCTTTGGGCTTTAGAATAGAAAGGAAAAATACATATCAATGTTTAGGTGACCTCAGTATAGAGGATCAAGTGGTACAGAGTCCATAGAACTTTCTGGTGAAGAAGGTTTTCTTCCTAACAACCGCCGCGAAAACATGAAGATCAGGGCGCTTTCAGATCGCAGATTTAAAGCAGCTTTTCGGACTTAAGAAACAAAAATGGTAATGAACATTATTACTTCGAAGTTGAATTCAACTTTTGGAACGATTGGTAAAGCCACAGGCGTTAAAATGTCTGGAAAAGCGGTCGGTAAAAACTCAAGCTTTTGCGTTAGCGTAAAGAATAATTTTAACATGTGGTCATGCAGCGAAGCACGTGTGCAAAATTTTGAACAATTTTTTGCTTTTAAATATGTTTCTTCGCCTCAGCGTGAATGAAAATCTATTGTTATTGACCTTCCTTTCGCATTTCCTTCATTTGGTTCCCTGTATTTGGGAATTTTAGGTTTTAAAAGTCAACAGTAACTTCAAGTTGCACGCTGGATTTCTGCATATACGGCGACCTCCAGGCGCTTTGTTTATTTTGTTTATTCGCTTCGTTCAGATATTTCCGCGTCTTATTAAGCTACTACAGAACCGCTGGGAAAAGAACCAAAATGGCCACTAACTAACACAGTTGAAATACGACTGATCTCAAAATAATTGGCTTGTTTTTGTAGTCTTTTTGATTTACGACTTTCATCTTTCTTTCCAGCGACGTCATATTTCGTCGCGCGGCGAAGAAATCACTCGATTTCTTGTTTTCAGATTGATTTTACAAGAGTTCTTCGCTTTTATTTTTCGTTGTTTTCTCAAATGTTAGCCGCTACAAGAATGAAATTCGGTTGTATTTGGTTTCGTTTTGTCCCCCAAAGTCAATAATTAACTCATTTTCGCAAAGTCAATTTTCTCTGCTTCTGTGGGACATTTTGTCGTGCGGTAAGGAAATAATATAATTTCTTGTTTTCTCAGCAGTTTTGTACATCAGGTTGAGTTCTTTTTGTTAATATTTTTTAATATTTCGACCCTTCATTTATTGAACTTTAAATAAACGATGTCTTGAAACCTGATGTTGTTTCTGTGGTTACTCCGCATATGGTTTAGGGGTGGGTCGCGGGCAATTTCATTCAGGCGTCAATGGGTTAGTGCATGCTTGATTGTTTGAAGTTGTGTAAGCTGTTCATAAACTGCCCCTGCGCATTTTTGACAGTGTCATAGTCAACATTTCCCAACCAAAGAGCAACTGTTACACTGTGCTCAGTAAATTACAAGGCTCAATGATTTTTTCTCCGACACTTTTCTCCCCTGTGAAATGGCGTGACCATTTCAGCCATGGGAAACCGTCATGATGCTGTTGGTTGGTGTTGTAACTGCACTCTGTACATCTGACTGACTTAGAAATAGTGTAATGTAATTCTCAATGTCAACATAGCCCACAACTACCTCTCCAAATTTATTAAAGGTCAGGCCAATCTTTTCTAGATATTCTTGGCGTGTGCCATTCAGATTATTAATTTTTTTTCTTTACTGAGTTGGAGAGCGTTTGATCGAATGGTCGACCGAACTAGTGCTGTGGCCGACAAACGATAATAATAAAATGAATGACTAAATAAAAGCAAACTAGAGATCGGTGGAATACAGTACCTTTAATACTGTATAGAAAGTACACTATTAAAAGCAAATTGAAGTAAAACACCAAAGTGATTTTCAAGCTTACAATGCGATGCGGCCAGCGCTGCATGTTGTGCGATTGAAGTACTCAAATCGCTTCCATCCAAGTGTAGAAAAGATTCACCGTCGAAAGAGACTTCCCAACTGTCCAAATCAATACTTCTCATATTTACAGCACAATTCCGAGTTCCAAGCGCGGTATAAGACAAGACAAAATAATTCTGAAAAGCATCAACACTCGCTCCGGCAGTGACCGCCATCATTCAAATGCAAACTCACGACTACGCGCGGGCTGCCTTATGGGATACGGCAATAAAATTTTCTCTCCAGTCTTACGCAATGACGTCACCAGATCACCTGGATGAAACACTTCGAAGTACTGGTGAAATGAAACTGATGACGAAATTTTGCCTGTGCTTGCACAAGGTCTCTGAACTTTGAAATTTATTTTCTCATGTTCCCATGGGAAATTGTTTTCGGTGTTATTTTATGCAATTATTTGTGTATTTAGCTTTAAGAACATGTAAAAAAAAAAATGACTGTAAAATACTTAAAATTATTCTGGTACCAGATTTTTGTCCACTAAAACCTGAAATTGCTCGATTTTCTCTCGGATTTTGTCTTAATTTTTTTGCAACCAGGCGGTTTATTTTGTTGACAACGGAAATTACGTGCCGAAAGCCACGCTCTGAAACATGCACTATTTCTTGGACAAAAAGGAGATAATTATTAATCTTTTATCACCCAGTTTGATGCCTCTTGTTAGATATGGATTACTCAATTTCTGTTAATTTTGAGATTTTTTGCTTTTCATTTGCAGGAATACCCAATGATCCATTTATTTTATTCTCTCTGTTTTTCGGCGTAAAACGTTAACATCATTTTACACAACACAGGACTCGCCAGGACTGAACACAGGCCAATTAATAAACAGGACTCAGCCCTCTGTATGCCCAGTGGCCGTTTGCCGTTCTTTTAATATGCTTTCATAATGCTTAAAGCTTTGGTAAGAAGCCCAGGAATCTGTAATTTTCGGCCTTGGCGGTTCTCTGGATTTGGAACAGTCGAGAACGTAGGCAATTATTCTTCTTTGTTTCCACAAGAATTGGAGAGATGGGTTAGGTGATGGAAACATTTCTGACAGGGACATTCATTTTCGGCAGAGACAGCGTTATGTCGGACGCAACACACATTTGATCTGTCCGTTTTAAACGAGTTCATGGAAGAGGCTCAGGTATTCTAAGGGAAATGTCTCGTCAGGTTCTGAAAGGTCGTTTGCATTTCAGTTCTGGTGTTACATGTCAATCTTATACCTCGATATTTTCTGGTAGACTGTAACGGTCGTTTAGGATAAGATTTGATAAGATTTTTTCATTTTTTATTCCCATAATTTTTCTTTTGGAATACGTACTTGTTAGTATGTCGTATGATCGCGACTGCAGTAGCTATCTTGCACAATCAAACAAGTTATAGACGGTTATTCCGCTCCCAAAATACTTTTGGTCAGTTAGATTCGACTTTGCGACGTCACAGCAAACGGCGTAAAATAAGGGGCTTTATCACGTCGAGAGCATGGTGTGAAATACTAAGTAACAAGCATCAGTCTGAAAAGAAAAATCCACACAATCGCTATTAAAAACAATGAAACTAGAATGCCAAACAATGAGGCATTTTGAGGTGTTAACTTTACACCACCACCCAACTGGCAGGTATTATATACTTGAACAATAGGTTTTCAACGTCTCAAAGACTACTGAAAAACACTGCAGAATCTCAACCTTCCAAAGAACATCTGTGCGTCGCGGCCAAGTGAAGAGACTTAATCCATCACCAGCGGATAGTTGAATGGCGGCTTGCCTATTGAACAATTTTAAGTAGCTTAAGTGATAATCGAAATCATTTTTTATTACATTTGCCGCTTAGAACAGGTGGATTCAACTAGTCAGTCGACCATAAATTAAATCATTTCCTCGCTTTATTAGGCCATTTTTGCTCCGAAGCCACAAACAAAGCATGTGGTAAATTAGAATATCTATAATGGCTAATTAAAACATTTTCAGCTGCGAAATACAGCATATTGTTTTGCTGTGGTGTTCCCTCTTGTATCCACACACTCCTTATCACTTCTAAACGTCGCTTCGCCACCACACGAAGGCAGTACATTTCCAGTACACTCTGTGGATCATAACAAAATTTACAGCGACAAATTGAGAGGACAATGACAGACTCACGATTTCGCTTAACAAAGCAAGAAGAGACGCATTTAGATGGAACGACTGTAAACAACGCTGAGGTCCAAATAACGCCCAGTGGTAAACGGATGCGAAAGAAAAACTGTAACACTGCAGTACTTGCATTTCTGATAGTTATACTTGTCTTGGCTTGTATTGTGCTAATAGCTCTGTTGGCGATAGAAAAAATGCGCAAAAACAACTCAGACACGAGCGAAAATGGAACTCTGCCATGTACCAGTGCCCAGTGTGTCCTCGCTTCCTCCAGTAAGTAGAAAGTTCTGATTTTTAAATCGATAATGTGGTTTCGCTTGTTACACGAGTATTATGGGTTTGTGATAATAGGCACACAGCTCATAACGATTCGTCTAAGTTTACATGGTAAACTTCGAAAGACTTTTGTTTTAAAAATGAGAACCTTTCTCAGTTGCTAGGAGTAATTTGAAGAAAAAAATTGCCTCCTCTAAAAACATGGTTGTGGTCAATTGGTGAAAAGAGCTTTGGGTGCATAGTTCAGTGTATCATATTCCCGTGCTCGTGAACAGTTTTTCTCATCATCTGTGTATGTGAAACAATTCATCTGTTTACAAAAAACGGAATGATTTGGTTAGTTTATAGAACGAGTGAAAATTTTTTCTCGCGGATCAAGTACTAACTTAATTAATAGTGTGGTCACGTTTAATTGAAACATTATAATGTGTCACGACTAATCTTTTTAAAAGTCGACTTTTATTGGGAAAATGCTCCAGAAAACCAGATTTCATAAAATACTATAAATGTAGTGGACAAATTACCGAAGGACCGCTATCAACGACCATTTACATTGTATTGCGTTGCATCCTAACACATTCAAATCATTTTAAACAAGACGACAAAAGCCAAACGATGTTCAAGTAATACCACCTAGAAATGTTGGTAAATTATAGGAGATCGTATTTGTACTTGAAGTAAGCAAGATTTCTAACATGCAGCCAATCATAATGAAGCACATTCTGCGTTCTTTTGCCATGTGCAGTAGGCTACTTACTAACCTATCTTGCAAAGGATAGTAAGCAGAAGTTGATAACCTCTTGACACAATCCGCGGTCGGTATTGTCAAACAACTACTGTTAGCATTTTTCACTCACAGACGAGGAGAAACGAAAATCTCCAGTACACCACTTAAGGCTTCCTAATATTTAGTCCAGGGGATCCTCAAAGACAGGCTTTACTAAGATTGAGTTTAAATATGTCCATGTTTTAAAAAGCCTGTAAGCAAGCATGGAGTTGGGGTGGACGGTTATTGTTCTGGGATAAGAGATAAAAAGGAATTACCAACCGGTGAAAACTGTTAAAACAATATACAACAGTTGTTTTAATTCAAATCTCGTGTCACGACATTACATTTGTAGGTGACGGCGTAAACATGACCTACAAGGACATCCTTACTCCATTTGACTTAATTTGTTCAAAAATATAATTTTCAGGAAAGAGACTATGATCTAGAACATAGTCTCTTGCCGGGTTCTGCTCAAAGCTATTTTTGTTCTTTCTATTTAGGCAAATTCACATTAACAGATATATCGTGCAAGGAATATTTCCGAAAAAAATTCGTGCGGCTGACTTTCCCTACGTGTTTCATGCAATTCACAATGTGAACACCATGCTACACACCACACCTATTTTGCTGCCTGTTTCCTCTTCCTGGAATCTACCAACTACCCTGGGATGAAAATGCCTAGCTAACTGAACAATTGACCCTGTGGGAAGTTAAAGTAACTTTCCATTTTTTTTTTTTAATTTAAGCAAAATTTCCTCCACAGAATTTTTTCTAATTTTCCCTGTTTCTTCTCCTGTGTGTAATAAAAATATTTTTATAAAAAAATATGGGGTCACCGGCTTAGTTTTTAAGATAGATGTAATTGATGGTAAAAAGTGGGTCAAGTTTGTTGCTATGCAACAGAACAGTGTAACCTTAATTTATGACTTAAACACAATGAAAGGTACAGTGGAGAGTTACCTCACAAAATAGCACAGCTATTCAAAACAGTACAGTTATAAGCCTGAAAATCGCACCTAGTTCTAAAAGTCTCAAAAAAAGAGCAAACAGGATTATCGACAATTCTTTTTTCAGTTTGGTATTTTTCTTTCGGTGAGGTTTTCTGTCTCTATTTGTCCCTCAGTAGGAGTGTCACTGTTTACTTGTATTCCGACCCACCTAGCCGTCGAAGTTGTTAAAGAGAGACTGGACTTTGACCAATCACTACCAGAGAGAAACAACTTGTCTATCCAAAATATCATGAAACTTCTACAGTTCGTCCTCGACAACAATTTCTTTGTATTCCAAGGGATCCATTTCCAACAAATTTTCGGTTGTCCGATGGGATCCCCAGTCAGCGCCATGCATCCTAGCCAATCTCGTCATGGAACATGTCGAAGAAAAAAGGCTCTCTCATCGGCCCCTATCCCTCCCAAATGGTGCTTTAGATACGTAGATGACAGCCATATGTGTGTAAAATGGGAGCACGCAGACGAATTCCACTCACATATCAATTCCATCAACCCTCAAATCGAATTTACAATCGAGATAGAATCAGAAGGCTCCATTGCCTTTCTTGACAGCAAAACAACCAGACAAGAAGATGGCTCTACTCACCGTATCTGTCTACAGGAAAGCTACTAACACCGACCGTTACCTTGATTTCAAATCACACCACCATCCCCAGCAGTAAACACTCGGTCGTACGCACCCTCATGGATCGCGCAAAGAACATTCCTTCCACCGAGGAGGAAGTATCACGGGAAACTAAACGAGTAGCCAAAGCCCTCGCCGCTAATAACTACCGTGCTAATTTCATTCATAATGGCCGCCAACTGAATAGACAACAAGAAATGAATGAGACCGATCAGCACGGCTTGGTTATCCTGCCCTACGCCAAAGGGTTCTCCGAGGGAGTTGCAAACGTTCTCCAAGGTTTCAACATCAAGTTCACCCATAAGCCTATTCGCACCATCTCGACCATACTTGAAAAGCCAAAACGACAAGATCGAGAAAGAGGCTGCCAGAGGAATCGTGTACAAGATCAAATGTAAAGACTGTGATTGTGTTTATGTTGGTCAGACATTACGCACTAAAAACACGAGTAAAAAAACACGCAAAGGCCATAGCCACATTGGATAAAAACGCTTTGTTGGCCAACACCATATGCTTCACAATCACCAAATAGATTTGGAGAGTGTTGAAATTGTTGACACGTCATTGGCGTGGCGACAAAGACTAATCCTTGAAGCTTGGCATTCCATGCGGGATAGGAACGCTATAAACGAACACATAGCGCTACCAAACATTTACAATAACATAAAGAATTTTTAGAGTCATTAAGAATAGCCTAGAGACTATTATTACACTTCTTCGAGGCGTGATTTAGTTTTTTCACACATTGTATACATATACCAAGCAGGACGCCGTTAGACATTTCCATTTTTATCTTTGCTGAAGAAGGCAACAGTAGTAGCCGAAACGTCCACTATATATTTTTAACCAGTGTCAACTTTTTATTTTTTTTACCAAAACGAAAAACAGTTGTTCTATCAAATCTATCAGCATAAAGCAAGCAAACTACAACAGCTCATTATTGTGTAACTGGAACTAATGTGAGTACATAAACACCTCATAACTATCATGAACTATACATGTCACATAACAATTGTATTCAACACAAACTTCTGAAACAGACCTTTCAGTTAGCTCTGTTCACATAAAAAATAAAAATGAAGAGAAACCAAGGAGAATGAGACGGTTCAAAGCTAACATTATCATTGTCACTGTAACAAACGTCGTCAGTCAATAGTTTCTAAATGAATTGACGAACAGTTCAATATTGTGTAACCGAAACTAACATGCTCTGGGATCCAAACTGGGCGCAATTCCCCCCAAAAGAGACTCAAAGCCTTAAAGGTATTCCTTTAATGTATTAATGAAAGCATGGTTGACATTTTGTTGGCGCCGACGGTATTGATCGAACACTTGAAACCATCTTGTAAAGCCTTTCACTCGGCCAGACTGAATCGTACTTGGAAAATTGTGACATATTGAGAGACTTATTTAAAGGAAATTCATCAAAAGGCTACAAAAGAAAAGCTTCATGATCACTCACTAAATTGTCTCAATTCACCATCCACGAACACTTGGGTTTGACAAATAAAGCTCATGGTTGAGACCACAGGGTTTCGTCGATTCGTCGTAGTCTTTTCGTTCTTGAATTTATTTGTCCCGACTGTTCCTCACTCTTTTTTTCTTGAATGGGATTAGTCTTTTCGTTCTCGACTGCTCACGACTATAAATCGATTTGGTGACGCATTCCTGTGTTAACACTTCTCTTTTCAATTCATGTTACGAGTCACTAAAGATGAACCTGACAGTAGCCTTACCTGCGTAACGTCATATTTTGCCGTATATCAAGTATCTTTCGAATTTTTTGCCTTTTCCATAGGTGTCTACAAAAATTGATCCAGTCAAACCTCTGTGAGCGGTCGCTCACTGCAAATAGCCAGGTGACTGCTTAAAAGAGGTGATCAAAATTTAACTCTTGATGGGGCAATAATTGTTCAAGAAAGCAGGAGTAGTGACACAATTAACATTTATTATTCGTAACAACAGTAATGTGAAATATAATAAGTGGTTGCACGTTTTAAGAAGATTCTAAGACTTTTATAAACCAAGAGACTTATGACCATAGTCTCTTGTATAAACTCTGCGTGAACCTTAATTACAATATCAATCGTTCAAATGCAGTAGTGATTTGAAGTTATTTATTAATGGCTACATGGTTGAGCAAGTTTCTTAAGTGACCCACGAACAGAGGAAAGGTTACAGTGAAGAGGAAAGGTGATCAGAGGTGGAGACTTTGGCCCTGAGGTTCCTGACGAGTATCAATATGAAGGTGAAAGTTCTCTTGTAGTTTAGTGGCTGCAATGGAAAATGGTTAAAGACTTGTGCTCCGGTTGACCATATAATGTAACAAGTTGACCGTTTAACAGAAGTGAATTACAATGGAATTAGCCAACTGGAAGTCCAAACAGTAACCTTGTCCACTTAATAGAGGTGACCGCTTAATGGAGATCAAATAAACAGTAAATCTGAGAAGCGAACTTCGTGAATTCCAAAAGTGACTGTACTCAGTTGACTTTTAATCCCGGGTTGAAAGTCTAAATGGGAAGGTTACCTTTCAAGGTTGATGGTTAAAAGTAAGCCGTTTTGACGGTTGACGGTTAAATTTTCGGAAATGACGTTTATAACACGAACTGAAGTTAAAGCACAAATTTGCCTGTATTTTTACCCCATTTAAGCCAATAGTTTAGTTCTTAATTAAGGATACCTGAGACATTTGATGGCCAATATAGGCTTGCTTATTTGGCGATTGACGGTGAAATATTGCATTTTTTGGCCATTTGACGGTTGACGGTTAACCCCATCGCGACCCTTTCGGTTAGCACTAACCAGCTTTCGAACAACCTAGCCCTGATGACAATCAGAGACAAGAGTATGACACCTACGGCTCGCAACATTTGTATATGTGCCATTTTCATCACCCTTTCTTTTAATTTTTGCCTTCCGATCTATTTTGTTTCACGTTGTTGCAGAAGGGGATGTGTTCTATGGAAGAATTTTATGTAGAGCAGAGCAGTTTGACTGTTGTATAGTAAATGTGATGTCAAAGGTCACACGCACATCTTGCCGGTCTGAATGGTTTCCGCCTCTGTTGGGCTTTGGTTTTGCATTGGTTCAGTAATTAAAAATCTTATTTATATCCATCAGTTTATAAGAGTGTTTTGTCGTCTGTTGTCTCTTGAGCTTGATGCTTTGGTTTATCCCTCCTTTGATGACTTTGCTGATTATCTGACGTTCTGGCGATTCAATTCAATTTAATTCTAATTGAAACTCTCACAAACATTGATTTTACAGGGGTGTCAGAAAAAAAAGAATACATATAAGTATATACAAATTACATATATAGATTACTTCATGGTTGGTGAGTGCGTGCGATTTTTATTCACGAGTTGTGAAGAATCGCAAACGNCCGGCGCGGAGTCTGTGCTTTCATTCTTTCAGTCGCTGTGATTGGTTTGTCGCGTCATCTCATGAATTTGATGAGAATAAGCAACTTGATCACGAAAATACAATCAATTTTCCTCTCGTTGACAGACTTTTTCCATAGATATTTCATAAAAGCGATAGACCACTCTTTCTATGGGTTTACCGGCGCAATAAGCCACTTAGGATGTTGGGAGAACACTCGAAAAGCTTGTAAATCACGAGCCGTTGCGCGAGTGATTTACAAGCTTTTCGAGTGCTTAAATAATTCTCATTACTGAAATTGACATAACAACAAACAGAATGTACTTGGTTAAAAAAGCTTTAATTAGTGGCCAAAGCTTAATGTATTTATTTTGCTTTGCTTTTGGTATGTGTTAGATATTTTACAAACAGTTGACCATAATGTGGATCCATGTGATGACTTCTTTTTGCATGCGTGTGGGGGCTGGATAAAGAACAACCCTATTCCACCTAATGAACCACTTTGGAATCAAGTACTAGTTCTGAAGACAAAAAATGATCAACTTTTGAAGACACTCCTTGGTGATCGCAGGATTAGAGAGAGATATCTGACAGTAAGTCAAGTTTCTCACGTTTCTTTTATCTCCACACAGCCTGTAAAAAACCTCTCTTATCGGCTCTTTTTTCTCACAAATACTTGACAAAAGTTTGATGGAACATTTGAGTTGAAGTTCAGGCTCTCAAGTGCTAATTTATTGGAGCAAAGGGTGGTATTTTGTCAAGGTATTGGTACATCAACTAAACCTTGTGGTCATTAGCCAGCAACATTTTGCCACTCAGCAAAGGAAATCGCTTGGCAGTGAACGAGACTCTGGACAGTGTTCTCCTAAGGCGTTTTTAAAGGCCAGGGTCCTAGAGTGGGTGATCACTTGTCCCCTCACTAGCTTACCACAAACTGTGTATACCACAAAGAGCTCTGATGAGTTATTTTTAGTCTTTAGATTGAAATCAGCTTTATTACTTAGACACGAGTGTTTTACTGGAAAATACACCACTCGAAAAATTCATACGACCACTCCGGGACTCGGATGGCGTATTTTCTAAACCCTCACTATTGAAGATATCGATTACTTTACTGATATCATGTTTGACCCTTAAACTGTACTTAAATTTGTTGGTGTATGGTCGAAACATCTTTGGATCTTTCTCGAAAGTCTTCGGCAATCTTTGGTTATCTTCTTTAATCTTCGGAGATTTTCGGAAATTGTTCGGAAACGTTCATGTGGCCTTCGGGTAATTTTTGGAGAATCTTCGGAAATCTTCGGAAAATCGTCAAAAACGTCGTTATCAGTATGTCTATATAATAAACAAAATAATACATGGCTGCTTGTACATATGGAATATCTCTTCTCGTGTTCAACTTTATATCGCACTCGTTCGCTGCGCTCACTTGTGAGATATCGAGTTATACACTCGAAGAAATATTCCATATCTAAGCGCGCCCATGTATTATCCTCTATTTTTTTGCATTTATAATAAATTTCGTATAGTGTGATCGTCCGGGTGAGTGTAGTTCTGAAAAGAACTGTTGTTGGTGACTGACGTTGGCAACCTGAGCGGAAGTCATCTTCAGAGTCAAGTGAATAGTGTTTGTCAGTCGATGATCTTATAAGTCTGGTCCGTTGAACGTGATTGGTCAGTATA